CCTTACAATGCTTATGGCTTGGTTTCCAGCTGCAGAACGTTGGTTGATGAAGTTGCAGCAAAGAATGTCCAAGGGTAATATTGGCGGAGATGGCCAAACGACGATCTGATCTTGCGCTGGCCGCAGAAACCGGCGTCTTGCAGCATCGCGAGAGATATTGCGTTTAGCCTGCAGCGGCACTAATAAAAAATTCCATGTTTATTCATGCATTTCCTCCAGGTCATCTCATTGTTTATTAAATAACGGACTAAGCACTCGAAAAAATCTTTCAGCACATGGCTGTTAAATACAGCAAATTTACGACGGCATTATGAGATTAAACTTTGCGCTATTAGCTTAATCATATTCCGCAGCAAATTACGCTCTTTTCGACTGTTCCGAATAGGAGGCTGGAAACACGTTTTAGAGATCAGTTAAAAACTTCTTTTTTCTATATAAGATATCGGAAGTTCCCTCTTTTTAATATTCAAGTTTTCTCCTTTGCATTGTTTGCCAGAGGAGAAATGGCGTAACATATCACTCTACTTTTCCCGATTCCGTGCCATCTTAATGCCGCTAGCGTTGTTCAAATCTGTACATTTCTTAATCTGTCACTTCTGGCCTTATATTTGGTTGCATGTCGGGAATTCAAGCAACTAGTGTAATCTGTTTATTACAGTAATCGTTCTTTCTTACTTCTTATTACAGTAATGTTGCTAGATATCGTAGTTTGACTCTGAATAAAGAATAACAAAAGAAATTAGCAAATGGAGAGAAATGCGGGAAAATATAAACTCTTTTGTGCATGCCTGCTATGGTAAAAAAAAGAGCCATTTTTTTCAGTGGGTGGCGTGGTTGAGAGTGATGAAAGAATATCATTAACTTGCGGACGACATCGTTTAAATTTATACGCTATATGGAAAATCGAAGTGTATACTTCTGTGATTCTTGCGCATTAGACAACGAACGTTTAATACAGGAAATAAATGAACTTATTTACACGAACATGAATCATCTAAAATTCTCAACGATGTATTTTTTTTTCGGTACACAGAATAAGGTTATGGCAGCTATCAATGATTTTGCAACGGCCTATAGCTGAAATTTTATTTCACATTAGCCCTTGTTGTATGTTCATGGCGACAACAAGACTGTCGTCGATCATTCGCGTAAGATGTTTGCGACTACATTCTTAATGCACGTTTGTATTCCTGTCTTGCAAAGATAGTTCCGGCTCTATGGCACAGTCTCATTATACAGTTGTCATCGTTAGACACGACTTTTACTTGTGTCTCCAACTTTGCTTTCTTCATCTACGCACTGTCATGCCCACATTAATATTCTCTGATCTTGAGGTCAATCCAAAAATATTCAACCGCCAATCTTTAACTTACTGATCGATGGTGGGCAGAATTTCGTCTTGGTCTTTGCCTTTGATCCATCGGTTATTGTCATTTTTTTCAAATTATTCACTTTTGTATGACCCGATTCGTTTGTTCATTCTCAACCAAACTTTCACGTCCTGCTTTACAAGTCAGTAGTGGTCTTGTCGAAGGAAATATGCGCGTCTTACCTAGCATAAACTGCTGAAATACTGCAAGTTTTACGACAGTTAAATTCACTAATTCTAAAAACTGAGATTCATAGAAGTTTGTTATTATGCAACAAGTCATAAACGTTCCCGTTTTCGTCTATGCTGTGTTAATTCTGAATTCTATTTCCTTTTTCGTTCTGCCATTTTCTTTCACTACTTAGTCGCGATATCTTAATCATACAGTCTTAAGAAGAAGACTGATCGTTATTTGCAATACATTATGCACATGCTTCTTATCTTTAAATAATTCTTTCTAAATCAGTGCAATACTGGAATGTCCTTGAAAATGATTCTAAAGTTT